AACCGATGGCTAATGATGAGCTGTACACTCATCTCCGTGCATCCGACTTCTCAGCAAGCGTGAATGGGTTTGCAGTTGCAGTTATCTGCCCCTTTCTCCGCTTGAAAATGCGGGAGGGGGCTGGACTGTGGTGATTAGGGTACAGCATCGCTGTGTGATACACATAAGGGGGGGAGGGGGGGAAGAGCCGTACTCTTCCGCTGGAGAGGGGGATCGTATCTGGTCGTAGTTCAGGGAGGGGGTCGCATATGGCTTTGAGAGAAATACGTCACGTTAGAAAAAATTTTTATCGGATTCGTGATTTTTCCTGTTTCATGTGTACTATATACCCGTCTCCCCCTGCTCGACACAGAGCAAATCGTTGTTGGGGAATCCCAACAGGAAGGGTCGTATTTGGCCGCCAGGAGAGGGGGGTCGTATTTGGGCTGAAAAATTTATTTTGATAGTTGATTTTTCTCGCTTCACGGACGTTGTAAAGGGGTAGGGGTCGTGCTTGCTCATTGAAGCGAGGGGGAGGAGTCGTATTTATTTTATCGCCCTCTAGTAGTGGTGGTTGACTTTTCGTGATTTTCCCGTTTCATGCGTAGTATATATACAGGGGGGGGGGGCCAAAAAAAGTCATTCCGGCCGAGTCACATATGAGCGAAGTTTTCGCAGCCCAGACAGAGGAAGTGGATATGAGTACCAGGGCGGAAGATACCCAAGATCTTCCCCTATAAGCTGGAGCAGGCTGCCGCCAATCGCCTTCATGTACGCCAAAATATGAAGTCATCTCCAGTCGCGGCCTGACTGGAGAACACCTTTGGAATTCACGTCGCCTCCAAACAGCTGCGAAACTTCTTGAATGAAATCATCCACAGATAGCTACCTGGAGGTCAGTACTCTTGATCTGCAAGACCCCCCCCACATCGAGCGGCTACGGCAACGTCGCTACGGTCTAGGACCAATTTTTTCCATTTTTTTGTTTTCTTCCAACCGCCATTCCACCATAGGCGCGGGTTGATGGTGTGGACCGGCCGTACCTGGAATGGGAAGACCGATATTTTCTTTGTAGACCCCGACTGAAGGTGAGCGCTGGCGGTTACATCAAGTAACTCGAGAAGGATATCCTCCCTACATGTGGTCGCCCGTACCTTCTTGGAGACCTTGTGCTGCTACAGGTTTGGGTGCCACCACATGGAATCAAAGGGTTTTGGAAAAACTCCCGCCTACTTCGGAATGGAAGAACGTTGAGTACCTGGAAAAGATCTAGTATTTAAGCGGGGGTCCTGAACTAAACCCCCTCAATTACTCGGTTCGGGCGGAGCTCAACAGGGTGGTCTTCAGTGGCGGAGAAATCAACGATCTCGCTCAACTGCGGTACCACTCACTTCGCGCGGCCGAATCTCTCGATGGCGCTCCTCCAGAAGGCTGTGGCGGAGTATCATTATAGTATTTAATGTGCTCTTTAATATGGTAGTAAAAATGTCCGATAAAAATTTAATAAAGTGTAACTTATAGCGCCTTGAAAGTCATGGAGGCAAAATGACTTTTTTTTTTGGCCCCCCCCCTGTAGTTGCCTGGAGCGACTGCCAATCCCCAACCCATGATGTGCCCTTGCTCGACAGTAAAATTTTTAGGGAAAAGCAAGGAAAATTTCGCGAAATTAGGGAAAGTGATAGGTAGTTGGGTAAAATCCAAGAAATTTACCTGTTCCCCTGTTTCGCACAGGCTGTGCACCCTGTCCCCTCCCCCCTGGTCGACGGAAAATTTTGGCTAACAACTATGGAATGTGGAGAAATTGGTAGGCAGGTATTGGGGAAGAGGGGGAGGTCGTATCGAAACCCTCTTTCAAGGGGAGAGGGTGGGGGGATGTCGTACTGATACCACCGTTTCACACAATGCTGTACGCTGTGGTGATACTAAAGTGCCATCGCGCCGGCGCACGGTCGGCCACAGGTCTGACCCAAAGCGAACACGCGTGATGGCGAAGTTATCACTCTGTCTATAGCTGCAGATCCAATCACCCGCACCTAGAAGGAACAATCGTAGGGTGTGAGTGTACAGTTTGACTGCGAAATGCAAGGTTTAGGCTGGGGCTCGTGAAAATCCCGGATGGGAATCGAATCGTGGTGGATTCTGTGGGAGACTGACCGGGCGTTGTTCCTTCAGGGGAGGCAAAAGCATTTCGAGGGCACTTTGTGCAGAACCGGGGCTACGTGGGAGCGCGTTTATACTTTGCGTCAGTGTTTTCAGCGTACGTCAACGTTTCAAATAATCAGAGCTACGGTACACTGGTGCACGCTCAGAACCCTAGACTAAAATTCACTAGTTGCTCAGACACCCGATAGCCGACTTTCGTCCGGAACTCTCACAACGCTGCCGTGGGCTCGTTACGCTGACGCAAAGCATGAACTAATTCTAGAGCAAATAAGAACTTCAGCTTGAGAACAGAGACTGTTTTTATCCCCAGACAATCCTGGTAGCAATTTACCGACCTCAGAAGGATCACATGCCAAGCAGGCCTAACCAGTCGCCGATCCGCTCGCTGACCCCTGGTCGCGCCTTCAGTGAATGGGGCTACTCCTCATCACACCATCATCGCCTTTTCAATTGCTACTACTCTATTACCGCCAAATGAGCGTCATGATAAACAAAAATAAAAGTAAAAGTATTGATTGGTATGAATACCTGTGAAATCGCAGCTCGTTGAAGTACCATCTCTTGGACACCACCAAAAAATCGTCCTCCACCTGATTACTGCCAGATGTCTAGGAATATCAAAACCATTTCTTCAGAAGAAAAATCGCTTTGTCTTCATACCTGTTCGTAACATTCGAAGTTACCAATGTGTTCGCTACATTTACTATCCATAGCAATCACCGTGCGACCATGGGATGATTTGAAAAAAGCTCTCTCACTCGTTCTATCGTACCTGAAGTGCTTCTGAATGTCAAAATGGTTTCTAAGAACTTCGCTAAAAAGGATAAAGAACAGGCCAGGATAGATTTATTTTGGATGGGCCAATAAGTAAGCCCATAAGTGCAAGGAAGGCGGCTCATGATGCAAGCTGCTCCCAAAATCGCTGTCTTCGCAGTCACCCCCTCCCCCCTTCCAGTTGTTGTTCCGTGATCACATGTTTGTCGAAAATCTGAGCTATTACATGGAGCCGAAGTTCTGAATTTAGATGATAAAGGATCTGCTGCCTTATTTGGTTGATATTAAGAGCAGTCTGAGCACTCCTATTCTGTGCGCACACCTCCTGTTTCTGAAGGAGTTCACAGCTACGGTTAGGCCGTAAGCTCCTCCCATGAAGGGTCCTGTTCGAGTCGCATCGGGGGTGCAAAGTCTAAGTCAGGTCTGCATCAGCCCGAGGAGCAAGTTTTCGAGTTTTATTTTGAGTCAAAGGGGTGTAAGGTGTATCGTGGACTTTGAGATCAAAGAGGTCACAATAGAGCTTAAGGAAGCGGTAGTAGCTGTAAGTTAGAATAGAACATTGGATGGCACTGGGGGGGGGGGGGGTGAGAAGTGGTTAACAACTCTTCCCATCGCAATTGAGGCCCTGTTAACTTCTCTGTGGCCACTAAAAAAACAGGCGTGACTTCATTAGGTTGCAAATTCGGCCTGAAGACGGAGCCTGGATTCAACCTCTTTTATGATGCTGTGCAGGAAACAAATGCTTGGCGCAACTGGAACGATGAAGACCATTGAGTGCAGTCTCTCTTCATCCTCAGACTGCGTTCTCTCTCCGCGGCTTGAGGATCGCAAAGTTATGACGAACGCCCTCCTCCAATTAATGCTGAACCGCTGCAACTGCAAATCCAGGCACCTTCAGACTAAATTCGACCGTTGCAGCGGTCAATCAGCGATGGAGCGCGGTCGTGCGCAGTCGCGCGATTAACTCGCCGGTCATCATTGTCGCGGAGTATGAACACGGCTTCAGACTGAATATAATGAAGCCCTACCGAAACCCATCAAGTATATGATGAATAGCAGATTCAATTGGGATCATATTTGCTCCTTCAGAATTCCCGTCAAGATCATGAAACACAAAATAGTTTCTGCAAATAATACAAAAATTTCAATTTCATTTGACTAAGCAACCAAAATCAACCCCGCAGTCGACCAACCCTTGAAGATTTCCTTTCTTCGCGAATAAATATCCTTGATGATGGAGGCGCTACTCGTTGAGGGATTCTTATAACTTAAATGTTTCCATTCAAGCTAGCCGTTTTATAAGCCTGTGACTCTCAAATTTTAAAGACTTCTGTGATCGATAAGTTTTTTCTCATGCCAAAATGGTTTGAACGATGTTTGTCACGCCTCGACAATCTCATCGTTTTCTGTGGTGGCGTCGAAGTAGAAGATTTATTAGAGAATACCAATAGAAGATGAATAGAAGAAGAAACAATACCCGACCGCCGCTTGAAGCACGCGAGATACTGGGGCTAGTCTTATCAGCCACACATCCTATTTCCTCAACATTTTCAAAGGCCTGAAAACATACCGGAATAACCTGTCCTGTTCAACGCGGGCCCCTCCTAAACCAGCTGCAGCTCAGACCAAGGGACTGCAACTGAAAAGAAAATTTCAACGACAAGTTACCCCCGTCGAATCCACCAGCGCCAGATGATCCGCTCAACTTTAGAGGCACAATAGAACAAATGAGATGACCGTCACGCACTGCCATAGTGTGATGAGGTGCGTTCGAGCGGTGCAGCGCGTTCTTACTGTTAACACGTTGACGACATTCTGAGCCACCGGTGGCTCATAACTTTCTCCATCACTTTTCGGGTTATTGCCGGCAGTCTCAATCGATCTTTTTCTTGCTTTCGAATAACCTGTGAAAGGTGAATGTCCAACAGGGATGAGCAAGAAAAAT